TACGTGTTGTCTCTCTCAGTTTTTTTTCCCCGTTCACATGGAGGGGAAGCGCCAAAGGAGGATGGTGGAGGGCTTGTTGACGAACTAGGCGGCAGTCGTTGTTAGCCTGGAGCGTCTCGTTCCCGGAGATGTTTTTGAACCCGGTCGCTGGAGTTGTCTTCAGCGCCTCAGGTAGTCCAGTCGGCCTCAGGCAGGTCGGCTCCTTGACCACGAGAGGAGACGGGGACACAGTCGGGCCTCTGACGCCTGGTCACGTCTACCGAGGTCCGAACAGCTGTTGGCAGCTTCGCCTTCCGAGTCCGACATGTGCTTGCGCTCCTCAAGAGCCATTTTTCAAAAACCGCGCCGTTCCTCGCGCATCTCTTTTCTTCCTTGTCTTCGTGGTGGATCACCCATCACAGCCTGCTATAGACCCTTTTCGAAATTCAGTGCCATCTGGTGGTTCGTAAAGCAGTTTAAGTTTTGCCATATCAATGGCGGAAATGAACTTGCATCGGTACCGTCACTTTCGCAAGTCAACAGCACGCGATGAATTTTTTAGTGCGAGTTCTTTCTCGATCACTTTCAGTTCGATGGTGACCAAGAACCTGCATTCAGAACAAAGCTCCAACCCACTCAGATGCCTCGGAAAGGTATGTACACCAAAGTGCTTTAAAGCCGATTGTGTGCCGCCCACAGATTTATTGAATCTGAGTTATTATAAATAAACGCTTACGTAGCTCTTGTGTTCCATTCCTACGTCGCGTCGTACTGATGCCCCGAATGTACAGGCTTCGCATCATCCGCTTAGAAGCATCTTCAACGTCTTCCTTTATCAGTCACTAGAAGGCCGCCATTGGTATGGCACAGATGCCGTACCACAGATGATGATAGTGATCAAAGTGCCCAGACTGAATTTCGGAAAGGCTCTATTGCTACGCGCTGGCTGCACCTCCGATTATTACACGATACCCGCCGTTTCTTCACTTTCAGCCGGACAGACGGACAAGGGGAAGCGGAAGAAAACTCCGTTCTTTCTTTGGACCAATCGTGTCACTATCAGTTTTCGTCGCAGGTGGCGTCGCAGGTGGTCAGCTATCGTCACAGGTGGTGATGTACTTCAAGTAAAGTAGTAAGTACTCTGAGTGGAATGAAGTAAAGTACTATAAATAGAATGTACTTTTAAAGGGATACTACAACGAAATTTCGGCGCTCCTTTTTTGGTCGATATGTGTTCAAAAGAGCAGTATCACATCGAACATACCAATATCTTGTTTAAAAAGTCTTGAAAAGGAATTTTAAAACGAATTAAACGATTAGCAAAGAGCACCTGGTGGGTGTCGCTAACGCCTCGCTTGTATAATGCCCGTCTAGGAACCTTGACAGCTAGTGACGTTGAGTGTCTCGCCTCCGGCCACGACGAGAGAAGAGGGGAAGAGGAGCTCCCCTCTTCCCGAGAATGCCTTTTGTGTGTCGCAGAAGTCGCTATTGTCCCCCTACAAGATTATAAAAGATTAACCCGTCACTCAAAATTCGTACAAAAGCAGCCGCTTCGGTGGCTGGATCGACTAGGCCATCCTCTCGACGTCAGCCTCGCCGTAACTTTGCTCGTCCCGAGACGACCTACGTCACGATTGCGTTGGATGTCACGTGGTCTCCGCTGGGCCTTCTCCGAGCGCTTGCCAGAGTGGGCCGTTTATAACAAAAAATACAGCCACCAGGCTCAAAACACAAACGTGCGATTGTCATTTACGGATATTGTGGATCATATTGAACCTATTTTTGAACACGAGGGGAGTATTTCAAATTTCGTTGAAGGATCCCTTTAAGAAGTGACGCCGGGTTGCGGTGTGAGAGTTCAACTTCAAACATTTTTTTCTCACTTTAAACAAAAATTACTTTGATTAAACATTCAGGATCAAGAGATTATCGATTGTTTTTCCAAACCCACCATATTTTGTATTTTTACTTGGACCTCCTCAGGGTGAAATAAACGGCTGTTTATGCAGCAAAATGATTTGTTGGCCTAGTTGGTTAAACATTACGAAAATTAAAAAGCGCAAAAGACAAGGACAAGAGGGAGACAACACAGGACAAGCGCTTACTCGCAACTGACGTTTTAATTCGGAAGATGAGGAAGATGAAGAACCCTAACGTTAAATGTTAGAAATATTTATGAGAAAGGAGTGAAAGAATCTGAAAAGACTGAGAATTGAAAAAAAAAAAAAGCTTAGTAAAAACAATAGGAAATGGTGGGCATGATTAAAGTAACAGTGAGAGAAATGACAGTAAACATATTAAGAAAAAGAAAGAGGAAGGTAAAGCAAATTAAGAATATCTAAGGAAAATATTTCATGTACTCTAATTCTTTTGATGACAAAGTCATCGAAGGAGTACTGATGCAGGCGTCTCCTTTGGTCGCAATGACTTCAGCCTCAAGGATTTCTCGAGTTCGCTTATCTGGACACCTCCTCAGGATCCTTGTGCTGGACAGTAGCGGGGCGCATCTACAGTCCCTCACATGTAGAGCGAGACGCCCCGACGGAGAGGATTTTAGAGATAGCGCATGTTCTCTGAGCCTTACGTTGATGCATCTTCCCGACTGTCCCACATATACCTTCCCACAGGTGAACGGGATCAAATACACTACCCCGCTGCAACAGTTGACGTATTTGTTGCCGTGCCTAACACTGCATTTGTCAGGCTTTGTGCGTGGGGTGTTGACTTTGGGGCAGAGCTTTTTAAGCTTGTCAGGGGCTGAAAACACAACCGGCACTTCGTATTTAGAGGCAATTCTCTTGAAGTTACGAGAGATGCGGTGTATATAAAAGACGACCGCCGGTCGACTTCTTCTTTCTCTACTTCTCTTGCTTGTTCTGTTTGGTTTTATCATGCATTCAACAACGTCAGACAGGATGGAGGTGGGGTAGCCTGACGCCTTGAGCCTTGATACTTGCGCGTCAAAGCTTTCCCTTGCTGAATGAATGTAAGACTTTTTCAGGGCAGCGCTCAAACAACTAGACACAATGCTCCTTTTGACTAGTTTTGAGTGTGCAGATTCGTATTGAAGTATTCGTTTCTTGGATCTAGGTGAATACATCCAACAGACGTGGTCATTTTGAAAGGTGAGTCGCGTATCAAGAAACTGGAGGTTGTTAGTCGGAGTCTCCTGGGTGAAGTTCAATCCTTGGGCCTGACCTAGAAATATGTTCTTGATGATGGTGATGTCATTTGCGTCAGGTATTCTTGTCATGAGCACAAGATAGTCGTCAACGTATCTGAATATGCGTGCGACTGGATAGGACGTCAAACCCTGGAATATGCCCCTGTCACGCTTTGAAAGAAAAATGTCACACAAAATGGGAGCTGCGGATGACCCGATGCATATTCCTTTTTTCTGTATGTAAGTTTCTCCTGAAAAAGTGACAAACGTCGAGCACAAATAAAACTTCAAAAGCTCTAGGAAAGACGCAACTGGGTATGCCACAGGTGTTTTGAAAACCTAAGGCTCCTTTGGAGTCGATGCATTCGCTGACGGTTCATGCGTCAAAACGCACTTTTTTGCAAATTCAGGATTTATGTTTACTGCGAGATATTTAATTGAGCGGTTTTAAATGTTTTTTATAGATTATATACCTGCAGGGGGGGTGGGGGGGGGGGTGGGGGAGGGGGGGGGGGGGCAGCCGGTAAAAAGTTTTATTGAGTCCCAGGAGTAATTAATATTTTTTAGAGCGCAGCTCTTAGGCGCCCGTTTCCGGCTTGAGCGGCGTCGCCGTCGCCGTCGGCGTAACCAAGGTCACCCCCAGGTCATGTGACCCCTTCTAAGGTCACGTGACCCCCCGAAGTCACGTGACTCCCCTGAGGTCACGTGACCCCCCCCGCCGAGGTCACGTGCCCCCCGATGACGTCATCGTCACTGATGACGTCACCGGCATCCGCATCGTCATCATCACTGATGACGTCATCGTCACTGATGACGTCACCGGCATCCGCATTGTCATCGTCACTGTTGACGTTGCCAGTGACGTCACTAATGACGTCAGCGGCATTCGGATTGTCATCGTCATCAGTGCCGATATCCGCATCGTCATCGTCATCATCACTGATGACGTCATCAGTGACGTCACTGATGTCATCACCGGCATCCGCATCGTCATCATCACTGATGACGTCACCAACATCCGCATCGTCATCGTCATCATCACTGGTGACGTCATCAGTGACGTCACTAATGACGTCATCAGTATCCGCATCGTCATTGTCACTGATGACATCATCGGCATTGCCATTGTCACGTGACCCCCCAAGGTCACGTGACCCCTCCCCCCTCCAGTCAGTTGACCCCCCCCCCCCCCAGTACCATTCCCTCCTCCTCCTCAAGAGCTGCGCTCTAATTCGGCGTTACAGGGAGTTGTAAACGGCTTTCACTTTTTTAATAAAATAACAAAAATGATAAAATTTTCAAAAAGTTTTTGTTTTAAAAAAAAAAAATATTTAAATTAAACAAAACGTCACAATCCCAACCGCTATGTAAGTCGAAAGCCGTACAAATTAAAAAAATATATATTGTTGACGTGTTTCACTAAAAAGCTGATTTTTCATCAATGATTGAGCGATGCCTAGTTTCACGCTGTTTTTAAAAGTTAAAACCGCGCTCACGTCATCAAAAATTTGTTTCGCCAAAACTATTTCAGGACATGACTACGGACGTTGCGGCAAAAGGCCGTGAATTTTTTTTTTTTTTTTAGAAATCGGAAGGGGGTCGAGCGCAAGCAACAAGCGGAAGGCCTGCGACGTTTGACATGGAATGACCCACGGCCACCTTGCGGTACCTGAATGGGTTCTAGCGGTCGTTGGTGTGTGGCGCCATCTCCTGACAGGCGAAGCAAGCGCTTCAGAGATCTGGCAACACTACTTTCCTGTTGGTATGTTAATATTTCTGGGGTAGGTGGCGTAAGCTACCGCCAAATACAAAGGGTAAAGCTTTTTTTTTTTTTTCAATCCAGTGAACAGCCAACACTATCCGCCTAGCCGTAGCCAATCCGTTCGCAGACAAACATATCGTTTGAGACTTGCGCAACTTGCGTTCGCCGAGCGCGCTACATCAAAAGGAAGCGTTTAATTTTCGTGTGTAAATGACGTTAGACAACGGTGTCTGCAGTTAGAATTCACAGGTTGCTCATTTGTGCAAGAAGTACAGAAAACTCCGCTGACGCAGCAATGCGGCCTGTTGAGATATTTGTTTTGGAACATGCACTGAAGTATCAGATGGGAAACGCTGTCAAAGGTGATCTTGTTTTTGGTCGTTTGGCATAAGTTCTGCTAATCAATATTTTAGTTACTGTAACTGCAAGCAATGCATGAAAACGCGCTGCACTATGTTCATTACATGCATAAAAGTGTGGTTATTCCTTTAAAACCTATCATGCTTTTTATGTTTTCCTGCACAAATCGCCTATCTCTATGCTTCCCTTCTTAGCGTGTGTCGTTTGGTGTAGGCTGTTTGAACAGCTTGCTTCACTCGTGTCTGCCGGATGGCCAACATACTTTTTAACATCTACTTTGACCTCAAGAAAAACTTTCGGGAGCTCTCTGCCCGGTTAGGCACAGACATTAGGCGAAAAATGGGGACTCTAACCAAGTTCAATAAACAGTAACTGTTTGGTTAGAGTCCCTACATTTCGTCTAACATTCACTTTTGCAGAATTTCAGTGCTGTGGTAATGCTGGAGATGGGCTATTTTAGGTACTACTGTCGTAGCTGGCTACTCACTGCATTTTGGGAATGTGGTGGGAACTACTGGTTGGCTACTTTAGAATAAGAATTATAGCCAGGAGTATGAGCTACATGTCCAAAGTATAGGATGTCAGGTGAGGTAAGCACGATGTTGTTCATATCGAAAAAAATATATAAACTATCCATTGCCGAAAGCTTGGTTTCTGCCACAATGTAGCTTTCTGGATCAGGTGCCAAAGTTTCAAAATTGTGGTGACCACAGTAAAAATTACGAATGAAAAACAGATTTAGTCTACAAGAGGACGCCGTCAAGCAGCAGAAACAGATGTAGTCACGGCCTCCGATATTGCCAGCTAGCAGAGCTCTTATCCAGCTGTTGCATTAGGAGTCCTGGCAAAGTCTGATCTTGTGGAAGCTTATTTCAGCAGCATGAACAAAGCAGCTTGTTTTTCTCGCCCGGGGCCCTAAAGGTCCATATGCACATTCGCGTTTGAACGCGTTTGAGTGCGTTGCGGAGTCCTTGCGGCCAGGCGCGGTCGCTTGCGGAGTGGCACGCGCCTTCCCGCAACGCTCGGTAGCGCGACGCAAGCGAGTAGAGACTCGCCCAACTTTCCGAAGCGTTGCGGTGCGTTCGGGTGCGTTCGACCAATCAGAAGCCAAAAGAGAAGAAGGGAGCGCCCGCCCCACCCGGCTGACTCGGCGAGACGTATCCGGTTCGCCGGTCGCAGTGCTTGCTTTTTCATTTTGGGGAGCGGTGGGGACTGTATTTTCCAAGGCTGCGATGGTTCAAGCTTAACAAAACGTCGGGGAAGCCGGCGAGATTCTCCCAAGATCGAACTCTTCGACGCTGTCGCCGTGCGCCGCCATGTTGCCTTGGATTTCGCTCACTACTGGTGAGCCACTAGCGACGATAGCACGTTCTTATTGGCTCTTGACTGTGGTTGACTGCGTGTCAAGGCAACTGTGCGTACAAGTTTGGTGCAAGCGGTCTTCGCAACGCAACGCGTCCGCTTGCCGCTCCGGAACGCACTGCGCTCAAACGCGAGTGTGCGTATGGGCCTTAATAAGTTTGCGATTAGGTGACCTTGTAGCAATCTTAATTTAAGAGGACGCACCTCTCGACCCCGCTAAAACTGGCTTTCTCGCATTCCGTTGCAGCACTTCGTGGCCGCGGCAACAAGCAGACAATAGTTTACAACCTGAGCTCTCCATACATCTGCCTGATGTACCTGATCCACATCTTCAACGGCTACCTGACGTCAACGTACAAGACCATCTCAACCTGGGATCCCGCCGTGCTCAAAATCCTGGTGGACGTCTTCCAGGACATGTACTCCCGGGAGAAGTTCACCTCCGAGAAGGTCCTCGTCCCACTCATCTTGAGGGCAAGGCTGCTGGTGCGTATCGTGTCTATCCCTTCCATCTTACTTCCATCTCGGGCATGCTTGGTTTTTTTTCGTAGGGAACGAGCTATACTCGATTGGTGTACTGGTTTAGCCTCGAAGAGCAACAGCATTTAAGCATGCCTAGATTTGTATAGAAACTCAATCCATCTGAGCTTAACAACCAAGAAAAAATATTTACAACTCAAAATCTTCTTTATTTCCTGCAAGCAAACCACCGGTCGACAGCTGGACGCAGTCTTAGGTAGTACCGCAATGCTCTAACTCGTTACTTTTTTTTGGTAACTTTTAACTGTAACTCCATAAATTTTTTTTAAGTATCTGTAATGATATTTTGTATACTTTTTTTCAAAAAGTAGCTAAAAAGTATCTGCAAAGATACAGGTACTTTTCGTGAAAATACTTACACTATTCTGGGAAAACTACGGCAGGTTCCACTATGCGCGGAGGTCGGGCACCACATTAGACGTGACAAAATAGAACAAGATTAACTCAGAACTTTTTTCGTTGGAGCAAAGTGCCGGAGCAGAGGGCAGATGTTTTTCTACTTCTGTTTTTCTTTTTACATTGCACGGAAAAGAGCCACCTCACAGAAACACTCAATGCATGGACACCTAATGGTGATCTGATTAATGCCGAATGAGAGCCTCCGTCGTCGGTTCCGCAGCAGTCGCGGCGATAGCTTTCTTTTGCTAAAGCGAGTAGCCACCAGTAGGCACTGTCTGACCGGGGCCACAGACAATGTTTCTACTGGTTGACTTACTTTTTCCCAGGGGCCGTGGGCCCATGATTTGCGGTCAAGTCTTTTGTTCTGTGTTGCATAGAAGAAATTAAAAAGAAAAGCGGAACGCAATTCGAGACAACTTCGTGTTTTTGTTCACTCCTTTTCCTTGTTTGGCACAAAAGTCTTTTACACCTTATTCAGTTCCAAATGGTTTAGCCTTCTGCTCCTCCCCCTCTCTATTATTTAATTGACCAGTCTGTTCATTGGTATCTCCCTCTCCTGTCAGCTGAGAAAGGAGAATAAGTGTGCTCTTACGAGAAAGAATGTCAAAAATAGGGAAGATAGTTGGATGGTAATTAACCATTATTGCTCAAACAAGAGGCTGTCATGAGTGACAAACAGCAGGTGTTCGCATGGCCATAAACTGCACTTTGACCTTGTCGAATATAGTGGCGAGGGCTGAGGGGGCTGGGATATCTATGATTTGGGGTGGGGAGGGGTGGAAGGGAGGCTCAAAATCCATGTGTATATTTAAAGGGCTGGGTTTCCAGGGGGGGGGGGGGGGGGGAGAGGAGAGGAGGGGAGGGGAGGGAGGCTGCACCACTGCAATGCAGTTACTAATTACAGCCAGAACAAAACTAACATTTCTGGAGCATCTATGAGTACTATGAAGCAGGCACAGGAACTGTAGATGGAAGCCACATGATACAATGCTGTGCCCCTCCTGTCACCCCAACCATGTATGTGGGGCATAGACATATGCGCACCTTATCGTCTTGCTTCTCCTATTCCAAGGATGGGGGGAGGGCAAGAGAGCTCGCTTCTGCTTTCTACTTGGTGAGTCGCTGCAACATTTGGCGACATAATAACAGCCATGCACAAGCACAGTTTGTGCAGTTTAGGAGTGTCTTTGATGTTGAGTTCCAATGTATCACTCATTAGTGCATAGAAGGGCTGAACATGTCTCGTCACATTCCTTCCAGAAATGCCTAACTAAGCACGTCTAAATATCTTTATGACTTTTTTTTTGGCTCTGTTTTCCAGGAGATCATTGTGTACGCCGAGAAGTCGCTGCCCCCTGGTTTTGTGCTTGAGAAGTTGGATTCTTACTTTCCGCAGCCCGATGAAAGTGCCTGGAACGACTTTGCCCAGAAGTATTCGCTCAAGGTAAGACTCTTTGCTTGGCTGCTGTGCTCGTAGACAATGACTTTCCGAACTGCTCGCCAGCTTCGAACCATTCTAGGCTGTTGTGCTATGGCATAAATGGAAAATTCCATGGGCTCAGGGCCTGACAGATTTGACATAGAGTGCTGGTGACTAAGGTCTCCTATTGCTTTCTTGTGCTGCTAAAACTGATAAACTAAAATTATAAAAAAAAAAAAAAAAAGATTAGCCTCTTACTGTTTGAGAACTTATGATTTTCAGCTGGGGTTGTGTTTTTGCAAAGTCAGGTTGCAAATGTTTGCATTTTCTGCCGGTTTCACTATAGTCAGTTACAGGTTAAGAATAATTTTCGAGAGAAAGGAAGGCTGGGGAGGAGGAAGCAGATGAAACACTGGAGAGAGGAGTAGGTTTGCTCCTCTCCCCTCCAGCGTTCCATCTACTTCCTCCTGCCCAGCCTTCTTTTCCCTCGAAAACTTTTCTTAACCTGTAATTGACTACAGAGGACTTCGGAGCTACCTTAATTAATGTGATTTTCCTTCTGTAAGTGATACGCTTGTTGTAATTCACAATTTAATATTTTTATTTCAATTCCATTCGGACATGTAAAGGAGTCGCACGGGCCCCCCTTTCCAGGGTGGTCCTTCCAGAGCCGCACGGTGATGTGGCGAAGCGGGGAAGTGGACGCAGCCCAGCTGTCTTTGTTTTCTTTACTTTCGACGGGTAACCACGGTCCTCCCGAGCAGGCACCCCCCAGCGAAAACATTGTCTCATCCGCGAAGGGAGGTGTTTTGTATTGTGTTTGTGCATTTTGTTGTGTCCTCCAGTGTCCCACAGGGTACCGTATTTACATGATTGTAGGTCGACTCAAACGTTAATTGCATGTAAAAAAAAATCATTTGTGGGCGCACTCCAGAGCAAAAATTTGTTACTCTCAGGACTACTCATCAGCCACTGGTCTACTCGTCTTCGCTAATGCTGTCGTCGTCCTCGTCGTCGCTGCTTTGGTCCGAGTGCACGTCGTCCAGCGAAATCCCGCACTTCGTGAGCGGCCGCATCATGACTTCCCTTGGCACAGCTGCCCATGCCGAAAGCACCCAATTGCACACAGCCATTAGGGAGGCCCTTTTCACCCGCCCGGTCGGCGTAAGTTCGTGGCCTTCTGCTGCCAACCACTCATTGTATTTCCGTCGGAGCAGGTCCTTAAAAGGCTTATTGACACCGACGTTGAGTGGTTGCAGCTGCCCTGTCGAACCTCAGGGGATCGCAAGCATGTCCCCTGTGCTCTTTTCGCAACTCCGCTTTCACCTTGGCTGTCGGATGGCCTCAAAAGGAGTCCAACACTAGAAGGTTGGAGGTGTGGTCTTTGAGGGATGCTCCCGGTTGCAGAAGCCACACCAGGTGGTACCATTCCATCACAATGTCTTTTGTCATGTATTCCTTTTCGTGGACACGCACAGCCACACCTTCAGGAAAGACTGATGGCATCGTCTTCCTCTTGAAAACAATGTACGGACGGAGCTTCACACCGTTCGCCAAGCATGACAGCATCACTGTGAACCAGAGTTTTTCATAGCCGGTTGATAGGAGCTTCACCTCCTGAGCTCCTCTCACGTTTGCCGTCGTGTTGCTAATCGTATCAAAATAGACTGGAGTTTAATCAGGATTGCCGATTTGGCCAATCAAGTATTGCCCGTAGTCGCAAAGCTTGCGGATGTACCTATGAAAGGAGAGCACTTTCTCCTCGTATGTACCTGGCAGCTTTTGCCCATGCTGGTCCGCCGACAGAGAGAGAAGCCAGCCCTCTTCATGAATTAGGATGCCCAAGCCCTGCTGGCCTTGAGCTGCATCCTGGGTATTCCCGCTTTCGAAGCGATGATCCGCACTTGATCTGTAACCATGTCGCACGTCACCAGCAGGGAGCAATCACATACTTCTGCGACGTATACTGCGAGCTAGGCCTCCCAACTCCGGAAAGCGTTCCGACTTCGGCCCACGGGAACCTCTTTGTTTGCCATCACAGCTGAAGATCTGGGATCGTTGCAGCCGCCACTGGCACACCACTTGTTCCGAAACGTCAAACTTGCGGCATGCTGCGCAGTTGTTTGTTTCTTCGGCATAAAGAATAACATTCCTTTTGAATATTGCTGGGAACGAGCGCCGAAAGCCACTCGGACCCGGAGCTCTCGTGACGACGTAGAGGACAAACAGCAGCAAAGAGAAAATGCAACAAATAGCAGTTGGCAGTTGCTTGAACTGAGGTAAAAGAGAACAGCTCAAAATCGAACGAAGAGCCAAAGCTGGGCCACTGGGTTCTTCCAATTTGAAAATATTAATTGAAACTTCCCTGAGGGCGAGGAAATGAGTTCCTTCAAAAGCCTCGGACTAGGTGAGGGAGGGTGATTTTGGACTGATTTGGACATCTGTTAGACTTGTTCAATCCGAATATGCCAACGTCCCCTAATTTGTTCAACTGTACATATTTCGTAAAATAAATTGGTTTGCCAAAGAACTCGCAAAGTTTCTATCACCTTCTGAGAACTTCACTGACCATCAACCTGCCAAGCTTTGCAGGCCCGAAGTACCACCAACATATGAACAAACCGTTGCTGGACATATGGCACAATATCTCGTTTCTATACAGTCCAAGAAGGAACGGTGGCTAAGCAAGCAGAACCGCTTCACATGTCCTAGTATTTTTCATAGTTTTCAGACACGCCGAAACATCATGTTCCAAACAAGCAGCCGTGTGCTCTTGGCTTGTGCATCTTCGCTTGCTTGTTGGCCGTGCCATTTCTTAACCACCGCTAATAAGAGTTCCCAGATGATCGACTGAGGCTCCTGCTAATAAATCAATTTACTCGCAAGGCTTCACCGTTCGAATAATATTCCTCCTTTTGTTCGCATAGTGAACAATTTTCGGCGTTGCATCGCTCTGAAACGTGACCAAACAGCCCTGGGACTATTTTGTCCTGGAGAGGCATCCACCTACAAACATCATTGGGGACGCTCGTCGTGAAGGTGTATTAACATTTTTTTAAATGTATAGTACTACTTGACATGAAAGTTAGTGAGAAGCTGAACAAATGGAGGCACTCATTTGTTTGCAACCGAGTGTGCCGAAGTGCATGAGGAGGAACTCTTCTGTACTACTATTAGGGTGTGAGGAGGGAGCTTCTGGTAAAACTTGGAACGGCATGCCGACATTTCACTAGGAGACCTAGCTTCTTCAGGGCCTCCTAGTGAAACTCTAGTGTCTAGGTCTTTTAGTGAAATGTCGGCACACCATTCTGAGGTTTACCTGAAGGTCCCTCTCCACGTTCTTCTGTCAGCTTCGCTCCCCTTGGTGTTTTGTTTATACTACTAATAGGTTATTCGGGAAGCGATTGCAGAATTCAAGGTGGTCAAGCGTGTTAACACACTGCAGCTCAGTGTATGCACATGTAAGGTCTCAGTGCTGTTCCCATTTTTGGCCTTGTTCTCTGTTCAGGAGTTCTCACCCTGACCTTTTGGCTAGCAGGGCAAGTCCTTGGAGTGGCTGATGGACACCTGCAAGAAGTCCCGCCAGTATGTGATGAATTTGGTGATCAAGAAGAAGAAACTGGAGAGCGATTCTAAGGACCTCGAAGGGTTCGTGGTGACCGTGAGAAAGCTCGTAGAACGCATCACAACGGACCTCTCAAAGACAATTCCACAAACGGGGCTGGAGAAGGTACGGCCTGCCCCATTCTTTCCTCAGTGTTGTCCCAGCATGTCTTCATCTCAGCATTACCTTCTCCCAGCACGTCCTTCTCCCAGCACGTCCTTCTCCCAGCACATCCTTCTCCCAGCATGTCCTTCTCCCAGCACATGCTTCTCCTGGCACATCCATTTCTTAGCAATTCCTTGTCTCAGAATGCCATTGTCTTAAGAGGCTGATGTCTCAACATATCACTGCCTTTGTATCTTCTTCTCTCACCTTTTTTTTTGCCCCGGCATGTCCTTGCCCCTGCACCTCTTTGTCCCTTCATGCCCTTGTCTCAGTATGTCCTCGTCCCTGCATGGGTTTAGTATGTCCTTGTCTTAGTATGGCTTTGTTCCTGCATATCCTTGTCTCACCACGTCCTTATTCAGCACATTATTGTTCAGCCGTCAGTTGGGCCTCCCATGATTTCTTCGATAAAACCTGCCGTCCCTGCTTTGGTATCAGTGCTTTCTTTCAACATTTGGTGAAGCAAAAAAATATATGTTATGTGTAGCCTTGGGAAGTGCTCAAGTTATACTAGTGCATGTGTGCACCAAAAGCTGTGAAACACAGACTCTTATATAGCACTGTAGTCTCATTGTATATATGTAGAGCTCGTAGAAGAAAAGAATAAGGAGCCCTCACCTTGCGCTTCGCGCTGGGCTAGACATTCCGTCCAACATGCTGTCAGAAGTGGGATGTGCTGTCCACTGCTCTCCTCCTGAATGACACGTTGGCACGCCCTAATGGACCTTATCCTGGAACCTTAACCGGGCTTCAACCTCTAAGGCCTCCACTACGGACCTATGCTCTTTAACTGTTGACGGACCTGACTCCCTCGTAACCGGATGGAACGTCCAAGCCAAATGCCAGTCAACGTTACTTCGTTCCAGATTACACCGCCTGACCCGTTCACGTTTTCGTCGCTGTACAGACTGACCTTAATGGAAGAAGCGGTTCCTGCGCTACCGCGCTGGTTCGGGGCTTTCTGACCGTCCAAGGGAGAATCAAGTCGACATGCTGGTGTACCTCATGGGGCCCCCAGGCAGAGGACGTTTTTAACACGTTCAAGCTGACGTCCAATGAGCAGAAAAACTTTGACGTGGTGCTCAAGAGCTACGGCAACTACTTCATTCCTCGAAGAAACTTCATCTTCGAACGGGCAAAATTCGACCCCAGAGTCCAGCTGGACCCTGCTACAGCTGCTACAGCTCTCCATGCTCCAGCAGACACCTGCAACTTCGGAGAGCTCTACGAGGACCTGATCCAAGACACGCTAGTCGTAAGCCTCAAGAATTACAAGGTGTCGCAAACTCTTCAGTTAGACCCCGACCTCAATCTCTTGAAGGCACAAATCGTAGCGCGTCAGAACAAATCTGTTTAGCTATAACAGGCAGAACTCCGTCAAGGCTATCCCAAAGAAACTCTAGCCGTGGATGCATGCACGCTAGAAAGAACAAGCCTGCTAGACATAACTCCGACGCCAAGCCACCATCTAAGGCACAGCATCATCCCACAAAAGGCAATAGCAAGAAAAATCAAGTCCATTCATGTGGCTGGTGCGGTAAAGAGCGGCACACACAAGCTCTCTGCCCAGCAGAGTGGCAAGTGCCAGAAGTGTGGAAAGAAAGGTCACTTTCTGACTGTTTGCCGGTCGGTGTAAATGCTGCAGACAATCGAAAAAGATCCAGGATTCCTCGGTTTGGTGGGTGAAACTACCTTGTTAACTTGGGAAGTTCCTCTGCAAGTAGAAGCGAAACGACTGATCTTTAAGATTGACACAGGGGTAGACAAGACTGTCATTTCAGAACGACAGTACCATCAGCATTTCAAGCATATCCCTCGAAACCTCATGACGCGTCGACTTCAGGGACCTGATGGAAAAGCTCTTCGCATATCAAGAGTGGCCAGGCTCGATTTCAAGTTGAACGGCCGAGGAAGCATAGAAGTTGTTTACATCCTTCCGCTCCTCCCCACCGCACTCCTCGGCAAGCCAGCCATCAATCGCTTGAGACTGTTGAGCTCCCTCAACTCGGTTTCGGTGTTGAGCGTCGACAGAGACTTCCCAGAGGTTTCAAGGTCTTGACAAGTTACAACAAGAGTGTGACACACTGCTTTGACCGGACGCCACACCGCATGCTCTCACATCTCCTCGTCGGGCGCCTCTACCCGTTTATGAGAAGTCAAAAGAGGAGCTTCTACGTATGCAAGAAATCGGCGTCATCACCCCCGTAACAGAACGCACCTCTTGGTGTGCTCCGATGGCGGTGGTACCCAAACCGTCAGGAACACGGCGGATCTGTGTAGACTACACAGAGCTCAACAAGTTTGTCCTACGCTAATGGCATCCAATTCCGGCGGTGGAACACACCTGGTTCTCAAAAATGGATGTCAGATCAGGAATTTGGTAAATTCCTTTAAGTGAGAAAAGTAAAGCGCTGACCACTTTCATCACACCCTTCGGTCGCTTTTGCTTTAATCGCCTACCGTTTGAAATCTGCTATGCCCCGAAACACTTCCAATGGCGCATGAGTGACATTCTCCAGGGTCATGAAGGTATTGCTTGCCACATGGACAATATTTTTGTCTGGGGATCATTGAAAGAACAGTATGAACAACGACTCTGCGTTACCCTCAAGCGAGTTTGAGACGCAGGCAGAACCCTGAACAGAGAAAATGCCAGTTTGGCGTCACAAAGGTATAGTACTTAAGCACATCATCGAGAACAACCATGTACGACCTGACGAGAACAAAATAAAAGCAGTCACTGAGATGCCGAAGTCAACCTCCAAGACTGAACTCCGACGATTGATGGGAATGGCCACCTACTTAGGTCGTTTTGTACCTAACATGGCAAAGGTGCTACAACCACTGTCAAGCATGTTGTCATCAAAACAAAAGTTTGTCTGGGAGTGCACGCAGGAACAAGCATTCTTAAACTGGAAAGGACTACTCTCATCAGATCCAGTCCTCGCAATGTACTCCCCAAAGAGACCAACGAAAGTCACAGCAGATGCCTCCTCCTATGGCCTATGCACTTTCCTACGTCAGCAGCAAGACGAAGGCCGCTACGCTGTCATTGCCTATGCTTTCCGAGTGCTGACCGGGACTGAACGCCGTTACGCTCAGATCAAAAAGGAAGGCCTTGCTCTCATCGGGGCCTGTGAGAAGTTTCACGACTACGTCTGCGGAACTAAGTTTTGCCTGGAAACAAGCCACAAACCTCTTGTCTCGCTGTTTGGGCCGAAAGCGATAGACGACCTAACATCTCGACTGCAGAGGATGTGCATGTCTGTAATGTGGTATGCTTATGAAATCATGTACATCTTGGACAAAGACATCACCGCAACTGATGCTTTGTCAAGGTCTTTGCTCCAAGGCAAGATCGAGGACAGCGAGCTGGAAAAACGAGATTGAAGGCTACATAAAGCAGCTGTTTTCAATGCTGCCAGTTTCACCCCCTTCACTGCAAGAGCTGAAAAGGGAACAAGAAGAAGATAAGTTCTGCCTCCAACTCCGCTCTTTGACACAAAAAGGCTGGCCAAGTTGTTGTGATCTTCAGCCTTGCCTAGAGGAGTTCTGGCCGCATAAAGACCATGTTACCGAAGTCAAAGACGTTCTTATGCATGGCACCAGAATCATCATCCCGAAAAAGTTCCAAGATGCAACTCTTTGCATTCTGCATGAAGGCCATTTTGGCATAGATAGATGCCGCGCAAGAATATGAAACGCAGCCTGGTAGCCAACAATCAACGCTGCCATTGACAGCTTGGGGAAATCATGTCGGGCATGTTTTTTAACACAATTGTGAACACACTCCGCCCTTCTTTTTGACCGAAAATCTGAGTTCGGTGTGATGTCGCCTCCTAGCTTTTTATCGTCCCTCGAAAAGCATGGCGGTGCTCGCCGCATGTAGCACAGGATGGCTGGTGAGTGGGGGAACCGGATGAACTGGTCGTTTTTAGGCGCCTAACGACTTCCCAGACTTCGAAAAAAAAAATCGTCAAACGGTCAAAACAACTCAGTTTGGTGTCTGTGTACTGTAGTTTTGGTTGTGGCTCCACCGGGGCAGCCTTTCATGCAAAATCGGCACGACGTGGCCCCTCACGTTGGTCACAAAAGTCCACTGCGCGTTCTCTTCGACCTCATACTGTTTCAAAGAATTTGAAATCGCTGAAGGGCTCTAAAAGAACTTCACACTCGAAAGTCAAGCGTCGTCTGCTCGCAGCCGGTTGTTCGCGGGACGCCAGCGAACACGACATTTCGGAGGCATCGGAGATACTCGACTCGCAGGATGGCTCAATATTTAACGTCGCTGCACTGGTCCGGATTGTGTGGGAACTTTAAATTTGGCATTTGGAAATTGTTTTTTTACTTCACAAGTAATAATAATAATGCTCACCTAAGTCTAATATCGTCATAACAAAACAAAATGACATTGTTGGCCCCTGTAGCATCTATTCCAGTGAAAAACACATATCAGCAAGAAAAGAAAACAATATTCTCTTGCTGAAAAGTGTTGTTTCACTGAAACATTTCATAAGCATCCACAATATCAGTTCTTGTTTTGACAATATTAGGCTTAGGTGGACATCGGCTCCTGGAGAACTTTCGTCTTTCTCAACTATCTTTTGATCCAGAAAACATAATTTTCTCAAACTCTTGCATTCTATCCCAACTGCTAGCGTCACATTCTCACAAAATTTGTTGTTTGTGTGATGTATAGTTCATTTACACGTTCCGAAAAACACAGATTTTTTTTGTTTATGAGTCGTTCTGCCCAAGATGTCCACGCTGTTTCCTCAAATTCTTCAAGCTTCCCTTGCGTAACCATAGTTCAGTCGCCGTTGTACTGTCCAATCATCGACTTCGTCGCCAAAAGTGTGATAAATCGCAGGGGTAGACGCAGTAGTGGCTGTCAGTCGCTCGGCTCGTCCCTTTTTTAATTGTGGTATCCAAAGTCTTGTGCTTTTTTAACCAAATGCTCTCGCCATGTGCCAACAGCTGATAGCATAAGCAGGTGCATCACAGGAAACATCATGTTCTCAAACTCTTGCATTCTATCCCAACTGCCACCGTCACATTCTCATGGAGTTTGAGCTTTTTGTGATTTATAGTTTATTTACACAGGCCCAAAGACATAGTTCTCTTTTCTCAGGAGTCAGAAATGCCCGGTACTTTATATTTTGAAGCAGACTGTTTTTGCACTGTGTAGATGTCCGCACAACAAATTTGACCCACACTAATTCGGGTTTTGAAAAGCCTGAAAATCTAGTTGCCCTCAAATCTGGACCTTGTACACTAGCGTGGTCTCCACCGCTGTGCCATGCTCAGCAAGACAGGTATGAGCAGGGCTTTGCTCATGCAGGAATTCTTTGGGCACTTGTTTCAGATCCTTTCGGATGAGAAACTTCAGCTAGACCCCGACACGGAACAGATCATCCAGACAGTGATGAGCAAGGACCATCCCATTTCGGAAAAGCAGCTGCTCCGACTGCTGGAGCTTCAGGAGTCCATCGAACACCCGCTGGAGCTCGACTCCCTTATGGACACGCTTTGAGAGCAAAGATCTTGCACCTCTGTACACCGCTAAGTGTCAAATCATTGTTTCGTACTGGTCTCACCTTCTGCTCTAGGACAAAATGGATTTCGTAAAGTCCGCCTAGCAAACTGCTGCTTTGGGCTAGTGATTGCTTGCTGCTAGCTAGAGTGTGGGTGATTCCATGGAGTCCTTTGACAAAACTGTTTTTCAGGTTGGTAAAGTGATTTTGTCATTTTCCGATTAAGATTTTTTCTCTTTAATGTTACACGAGAAAATTCTAGTGTTCACATTGATTTTCAGTCATTGTGAACATAGAAATATCTGACGTGCATTCACTAATGAGCTAATGTTTGGTTGCATGGTCATGATTTAGAAGCCATCCCTTTTTGTCATTTTAATGTTGAGAGTAGTATTAGAACTCCCATCATTTGTGGCTTATGCACCTCGGTTCTGCCTACCTCTAGTCTTTAATGTGCAGAGACAATTTTTGCTTATGCTCAAAATCAGAAAGGTTGAATAATGTTAGCGATTTGACTACTTGGTGGTTCATCCTTGAAACTAGAAAGAGTGCAAAGACACAGTCAGAGTAACAGAGGGCTGAGACAACAGCACTGACTTAGAATTGAACATTATTGGTGTTGAGACTGAGTATAAGTACTACATGTACAACTTCAAAACAAGTTGGAAAGAAGTTTTACCTTGTCTTTGTCATTGCACTCTTTTGATTTTTAAGATTGGACAAGTTTTCTCGATTGAATCGAGTATCATTTACTTCTATAACTTTTTTCGGTGTGCAGCAATGGTTTCATCATTTTTCTTTCGTCAAGGGCAAGTGCCCATGCTAAGGTGAGCAATGTCTTGCACCGACACATCATTCTGGTGTGGTCAGTTCTTGATGCTTGGTACGAGATAACTGTGTATGTGTTGTATCAACAACTGTTGAAACAGCTACTAATGAGACCTTTGCCTTTTGATACCCTGGGGATTTGCACAGTACATCCAAAAAATAAAAAATGTAGATAGAGAAAAACAAAAAGACCTACACCGGCTCTTCCCGCAAGGTATCCTGTTTGCCGGTTTCATGTTGTGCCTTTGCCTCAAGGAAAGTGTGCTCGAAAACATTTCATTATACCTTCGTTCCCATTCAACTCCTTTTTACAACACCCTGTGAAAGAAAGTGCAAGCCTTCTTTCTATTGTGCCCTAAATCTATAGTTACATGTAAAATATAGCTTTATAATTAAATATGTACCAGCCTGGCTTTTGTAGTAGTAAAATTTTCTATTTTTCGTTTCCCTTGTTATATTTTTTTTTTTTTTTTTTGTAACAAGATGGAGGTACTACTGCTATATGTTTGCTTTGGCTGCTGAATTTCTTGTTTATTTTGAGAAGATGTCAATGCTACAAAGTAATTTTTTCATCAGTGTCCTGTTTGTAGAACTTGTGGCTTGCAGTGAAATCATTTTTGTCCTTTATTATAACTTTTCCTGAAATTCTTTTGTGACCGTGTTTACTGGAACTGTGCTGAACTACTGAATTATGTTTAGTGCCTAATATTTGCAAATAATTGATCAAGAATAGTAGACAAAGTGCCTTATTACTCTGTAGGTTCAAGACTGAATTATGGCTAAGACTAATGCCTACTTATTGCAAATAATGAACAGACAAGGAAGAAGTGCCTTATCACCCTGTAGATTCAAGACATTAAGGTACTGAATTGTGGCTAATGCCTACTGTTTTGAATACTTAAATAACAGAAAAAAGTGCCTTATCTTTCCGCAAGATTCATAGCATAAATGATTGTATTTTCACCTATATAGCTGTATATGTATGCTAAGTGAAATTTCTACACGCATTAGTTTTTAGGATTTTCACTCGTCATACTGTACCAGTGCTATACATTCGGGAAACTTTGTGCTGACTTCTGCTGTGTTTCATAAGTTACTCATCTTTAGTTGTGTTCATATTAATTCCATGGCCCACTTCATTTGTTTGCCCCTAGAAGTGTTTGCTTTGACATCTATGCTCTTGGATCTAGCTCCAAATTGCCTCCTTATGTGACCAGGCAGGGTGTGCACTGAGCCTTTTTTTGTTTTGCAGATTTGTAAGGCGTAATTTGAACAGCAAATAGCTACGCACGCCACTGGTTTGAATCAAACTGACAGTTTTCAGACTTGCAGGGCAATGTTAAAGACATCATTCCCTGCTTTCCCTTTCCTTCTCTGGACCTCATAACAGGAAGACGAGGAGAAGACCTCCTCTTAATTACTTGTTACTTCTGCATGTTGGGCCATATTCAAGGGTGCCTTATCTTGTCCAAATTTTTGCTAGATGCAAGTAGTTTTGTCATTCCCGTAAGATCCCGAGAGATAGCCCACCTGACATCAAGAGCAAATCGGGTGAAAATATGGGGTGGGCTAACTTTCAATGTACAATCAAGAAAAGTTAAAAACAATTGCTATTTTAAGGTCGTGTACCTTCTGGCAACGAAGCAAAGATATCTGTACTTCCCAGTCAGCAATGTTCGTGTATATCCTACCATAGCTAACTACAGCATTTACGCCGAGGCCATCACTGATCCCAGCACTACGATTAATAGGAATGGGCTATCTTTCGGTGTTTAAAAAGATATAGCAAACCAAGCCAAAAATAGGGATGGGCTATCTTTCGGGGGTGGGGCATCTCGGGATTTTACGCGATCTGACAGGGGTGGTTATCATTTGAGCCCGTTCTTGTTTCGACCTTCTCACTTGGCCCTTCTCAAAACAACCATTCTCAAAAAGATCTCTCCTGGACCTGTCGCATTTGGTCCTTTCCCGTTTCGTCCTTCGCATTCCAACCCTCCTCTTTTGGGCCCGTTCGCGTTTCACCCTTTTCACCTTGCCCTTTTCAAAAAAGCCATTCTCAAAAATATCTCGCTTTGACCCTTCGCACTTGAATCGTGTTTTTAGGGTAATATTAATGCATTGATACAATTTGTGTGTGTGTGTGTGCCACACTACAGGCATACTCTCTCTGTTAAGGATTTTAACAATGCGTCAAGGTCGTCGTGAAAAGCTACTAGCTGGCAATAAAACAGACCAACTATTTATCGCAGCCAGACCATATTCCCAAATGTCACGTTGTTTGAGGTCTCTCGACTTGGGACAACGTCACCGCTTCTATAATGCAGTGGTTCCCAAATGGGGGTCTGCGAGGGCATCCTACGGGTCTCTGCGAAGCCCTGTCTCATCAGTCAGGCACGGCAATATTAGTTGTCTTTCTTCACCTTGAGGAGAAACGTTCCAATTTTCGGGAGAGCACTCTCATGTGTATGTCAATGAGATAAGTCTATTTCACACTAGCAATTAGTTATATCCATTTATTAAATCATTATCATAATAACCCATACCTTTCTATTCCCCTCACCCCGAACAGGATCCTCCATCATTTCCGCCTTTCTACAAGGGGTCCGCCAAACATCAATGGTTGAGAACCACTGCTGTTATGTATGCTATTTCTGTAATTCAATCAAAGTTTCCAAATTAACTGCAATAATACTTAAAAAAGAACAAGCGAGCTGGTGATGATTCATGGTAATAAAACCCGAGACTCGGGAACACAGAAGGGGACGAACACAACACAACGTCTCGTACACAGCTGAACGTTTATTTGTCAGACACTCGTTTAAAAAGGCGCACCCCAGTCATAGTTTTTTTTTTTTTTTTTTTTTAATTTGCGTAGAGGAAGAAAAACAGGCGTCCATGTACGATTCTCGATGCGTACCTCCACACATAACATATATCTGATCCAAGCAAGCTAAGGCTCATCAACAAAGTTGCGAAGGCATAACGACGTTAGAAGCATGCCGAACTATAGTGACATTCAGTCGTAGCGCGGACGGGCGAAATGAGAATGGGTCCAGTTGCGAAAAACACGATTCGGATCTTATGAGAAGGTTCAAACGAGGAGGACCAAATGAGAATGGGTCCACATGTGCAAGGTTCAAATGCGAATGGGACGTTTTGAAATACACCCATCTGACAGTACAATGCTACTACTATGAGTTGTTAAATAATCGTATGGGTAACTACAGCATGTTTTTAGTTTGTTGTGCGCCGTCGTATAGAAAATGAATACAGCAGTCTACTGTGAAAACAATAAATGCATCTCGAAAGCAGTCATCCTGGATAATTGGTAGTAACATAATTTTTTGAATGTAGAATCTGAGAAGTTTGAAACTTATAATTAACACAAATATAGAAATTAAAGAAACGAATTAAAAATGTGTACTTTAGGGCATAAATGAAAATTTTTTCCACGAAAAAAAAAATCGCGCAATATTTATTTTGTTAGACGGAATTTAAGTGGAGGTCACAGCAAGCCGCAGTGCTCCTCCGGTGACGTCTCGGCCGTTGGCTGAAGTACACCGCGGGACAGTATGAAAGTGAACGAATCGCGTAGATTTGCAGTCGTACGAACGAGTTTTAGCGGACAGAAACGTGCATAAAAATCAATCTGTAAAACATATTCTGCCGCGCAGAAGGCGAGCAAGCGCCTCGTGGTATGACGAAAAGGACGATCCTCCTAGCGTGGAGAAACCACTGTATGACCGACGTTTGATAGCCAAAACTTGTTTTATTCGATAAAATACCAGCTATAAACGATTATTGGAACAAAATGTTTATCAGTACACAGTATGATTACTTTGCAAAATTATTATCATTCATAATTTAAAAAAAAAAAAGACTTCCAGCTTTTCCATTCTGGTGAAGACGGAAGCCCAGCAAAGCTGTACTATGGTGGGAATGAAGTAATGGCCGGCCGCAAGTCGGCAAGGCAGAGTGGAAAGGTTGCCTCCATCTAAGAGCAACGGCGCAACCAGACACCGGGCAAACCGGTTTTTTTTTTTTTCTTTTTTTTTTTGCCGCCACTCATATAAGGTGGTAGCTGTCCAGAGTTTTGTGTCATTTCTTTTCTGGCGGACTGGGAGAAACTAGCCCTTAACAACTCCAATGAAAAAAAAAAAAGTGCAAGACG